GCTACCACTTAGTCAGCCACTAATGCGTCAGGCCTGCGAGTGGGGGGGAGACGGTGCCAGACGGTGCTCCTTTTAGACATCAGGCCTGGAGGTGGGGGAGGCGTCTCCCACTCCTGGCCCTGCCTGTGGGGAGCGGCTGTGGGGGGCGTGGATCGGGGGACAGTGTATCCTGGCTGGTCACTCCCCTGTCACGGGGACAGCAGGCTGGGCATCCGGGTGGGCCTCTCCCCCATCACAGGGACAGCGGGGAGGGCATCCCGGGTGGGCTCCTCTCCCATCATGGGGACAGCGGGGAGGGCATCTTGGGTGGGCTCCTCTCCCGTCATGGGGACAGCAGGCAGGGCATCTCGGGTGGGCCTCTCTCCCATCATGGGGACAGCAGGGAGGGTATCCCAGGTGGGCGGTGGGCTCCTCTCCCATCATGGGGACAGCGGGGTCCCATCACGGGCACAGCGGGGAGGGTATCCTGGGTGGGCCTCTCTCCCATCACGAGGTCAGCGGGGAGGGTATCCTGCAGGCTCCTCCCCTTGCCATCACCTTCCCGAGTCTCCTCCTACCAGGGCTCCCCTGGGCTGGCGCAGGTAGCCTGGATCTGTCCCTGGACCTGCCTTACAGCCAGTCCCCACCTTCGCTCAGGCTGTCTCCCACCTGGAACTCCCCGCCCACCTGGCTCTCACAGGCCTCCCCTTCCCTTTGAATCCATAACACAGCAGAAAGAAACTGCAGGACGTGGCCCTCACTCCTTCGCCTGGGCCTGTCTGGGCAGCCTGGCCTCGTGCTGCCCTGCCTGGGTAGAAGAGCCTTGAAGGCCACCCCCACTGCAGACCCAGCTCTCTGTGGGGGCCCGGTGGGGCCACAGGTCCTGGGCTGGACGGCGTGGTGCCGCCTTCACTTCCAGGCAGCCCTCCTGCCCGAGCCCCCAGCCCCCGCTCGGCCGGCCTGAACAAAGCTTCCTTTCATGTATTCATCAAGCTGAGCTGCCCGACACTTCCCGGGCACAATTGGGCCCTTTGAGGGCCCCAGGCAGTGCGGGAGCCCAGGCCGGGCTGGGCCAGAGAACGGGCCAAGGCCTTGTGTTGGGGCCGAGCTGGTGCCACCCCCCCCTCCCCGTATGCATCCCTAGGCGCAGAGCTAGGAGGAGCAGGAACCTGGGGGTCGAGGGAGGCCATGCTCCTGCACTGCTGCTCATTCTTCTGAAGAAAGGGGCGAGCAGGCCCTGGTCGCAACCCTGGCCACACAGTCTGGCTGGAGGGGGCCTGGCTCAGGCTCAGAGGTCCTTCCAGGCCCTTACGGGACCTGGTGCATAGCCACCCCTTCAATCGTGGCAGATTTGTGAGCGACTCCGGGCCCTACACTTAGATGTGTGGGCAGTTGGGAGCCACGGTGGGTTCTGGAGAGCTGTGGAAGTGCTCTGTGCTGTGGCTCTCGCCCACAGCCTGAGTTCCCAGGTGGGGCTGGGTCTCCCCTCCATCTGTAACTCCCAGGCCAAGGCTTCCTCCAGGGTCCCTTTGAACCCTCTGTCTGGATGAACCTGTCTGTTCTGCCTGACCTTGGTTGAGAGAGACACACCCCCCGGGGGCCTCAGTTTCCTCTTCCTGTAGGGAACAAGTCCCACTCGGGGTACCTCTTCGCTACACACAGCACTGTCCACGGCCTTGCCGCTCCTCTGTGGAGGCCTGGGCAGTGGCCTTGATCAGGGGCAGGCTGCGGTGGCCGGAGGTAGCCTGTGCTCCCCGAGGGCTGAGGGGCCGTGGGTCTCAGCCCCGCCGGTATCTGCC